AAGTGCGCGGACTCTAATCTGGGAGAATCGGGTTTGATTCCCCATTCCTCCACTTGCACCTGCTGGATGACCTTGGGCAAGCTGTAGTTCTGATAAGAGCTGTTCTTGAAAAAGAGCTGTTTCTGTCAAGAGCTCTCTCAGCCCCACCTACCTCACAGGGTGTCTGTTGGGGGGCAAGGAGGGGAAAAGGAGTTTGTAAGCCGCTCTGAGACTCCCTTGGGTAGTGAAGGGCGGGGTATAAATCCAATCTCTTCTTCTTCATCTTCTAGTATTTCCAAACCTGGAGTTGGCAACCCTACATGATCCACTTGGGTTTCATCTTGCCAGTTTAGCAGCGTGAAGAAAAACTTAAGAATTTTTCACTGCTCTCTTTACAGCAAGAAAAAAAAGTCTCTCAATCTTGCCATTTCTGCTCTCTCTGCCGAATATGACAAAGCATCATAAACCCATGCAATTGCCACTACTTACTTCATGAGGAAACACTTCTGTTTTGACCAAGTCCAAAGTAAAAAGTAGAGACATCACCCTGACAACAAAAGTCTGCATGGTCAAAGCAATGGTATTCCCAGTAGTCATGTATGGCTGCGAGAGTTGGACCATAAGGAAGGCCAAGCGCCGAAGAATAGATTCTTTTGAACTATGGGGCTGGAGAAGACTCTTGAGAGTCCCTTGGACTGCAAGAAGATCAAATCAGTCAATCCTAAGAGAAATCAACCCTGACTGTTCCCTGGAAGGCCAGATAATGAAACTGAAGCTCAAATACTTTGGCCACCAAATGAGAAGGGAGCACTCACTGGAGAAGACCCTGATGCTGGGAAAGATTGAAGGTCAAAGAAGACGGGGACGGCAAAGGATGAGATGGTTAGACAGTGTCATAGATGCAATGAACATGAAATTGAGCAAACTTCAGAGGACGGCGGAAGACAGGAGGGCCTGGCGGGATCTGGTCCATGGGTCGCAAAGAGTCGGACTCGACTGTGCAACTGAACAACAACAAAAAGTTTTAGAAAACATAAATTAAACTTATATGCTCATCTAGGTAGGGTCCCCTTCTACTTTGCACAATGTACGTGCAAAGAGACCCTACGCCCTTTTAAAGCTGGTTCCTGTCACAAAATGGAATTTTATTAAGTTTGAGTCCAGTGGCAACTATAAGACCAACAAAGTTTAAATCTGGGTATACGCTTTCATGTGCATACACACTTCTTTGGATATCTTCTTCAGATATCAGGTATCAGAAGAAATGTACATGTACACGAAAGCTTATACCCAGAATTAAAACTTCTTGGTCTTAAAGGTGCCACTGGACTCAAACTTCGTTCTGTTGCGTCAGACAGACACAGCTACCCACCTGAATCTATCAAAATGGAATTTTGTATGTGCTCAGAGACTCTCTGCCTTTTTTGACAATTAAAAAGCAAGAAACAAGGGCAATTGTTTTCATAAAGGAAAGGCATGTTCATATTCAGGGACACTATGCACTTTTATGAAGACAACTTGAGTTCCTTTCCTTAAAAAAGAGGACCGGAATGTGCTCAGAGACATTGTGTTTTTGCCTCATCACAACCTTTGATGGAGTTTCTGTCTTACATCATCAAAGAAGTAAAAAAAAGAGGCTAGTGTCCCTTTAAACCAAAGCCAGAAGTCCGTTCCTGTCACAACTTTGCAATGTTGAGACACCACCTTTTGTCCATTTAAAAGTTTTTTAACAACCTCGTTTTCCCCTTCCCTCAAAGTAGACTCTCTGCAAATCCAGATTAAGAACTCGCTTTGCCTTAAAACCCACCAAAAGATGTCAGAGCAAAAGCGCTCTGCACATGCTCTTAGGCCTTCAGTCCTCGGTGCCATTTTGAATACAAAAGTTTGCATCTGATTTGGAGCTCAGGTATAAGTGATCCCTGTCTGCACGGTGCTATATCAGTTCCATTGTGCGTGAGGGATGTGCATCATGTCTTGTTTGCTTTACACAGAAGGTTATATAAATTTAAAACAAACACGTAAAGCAAACAATCATAATGTGGGATAATGAGCTCGAGAAGCACAGCGTACATTTACGGGGGATTTTATATTATGTCTTTAAATTTTCCCTGACTAGGCCGCAAGCCAGGCTTCGCGCTTGCCCGCCGGTCACCATAGCAACAGCCAGGGTGGGCGGTGAGGGGAGAAGCGGGCGGAGTTTTCAGGCGCAGGCGCACATCGAACCGAGCCCCAGGCGTGAAGGCTGGGCCATCCCGAACCATGGACAAACAACGTCCTAGATCGGCCGTTCCCCTTGTCCTCCGAAACGCCTTTCCCCGCCCTCGCCTATGGCTTTCTCCTCGCCGCCTAGCGCGTCTCCCGGAAGTGTCCCTCCCTCGCGCGGCAGGAAGCGGAAGCCGGGCGAGAGGAAGCCGGTCCCTGCCTGGCCCTGCTTTGGGCTGCCATCTTGGACGGTGGCGGCGCTGTGGGAAGGGATCCGCGCGGAGCCGTCTCGGCGGAGTGGCTGGACCCCGGAGCCCGCTCCCGAGCCCGAAGCCGCACAAGAGGGCGCTGGGCCCGGCGGGGAGAGGTGAGGCGGAGGCGCAAGTGCCAGGCGGGGAGAGAAGGGGGCCGGGCGGGGGCGAGGCTCTTTGCGACCGGGGAGGGACCCACTGGGGCGAAGGGAGCCTTGCGGGGGGCGGGAAAAGGAGGCCCAAGACTGCACGGAGCGCAGGGAATCTCGGGGGCCGCCGTGCAAGGAAGCCGCCTTGCAAGGAAGAAGGCGGGGAGGAGCCCGGCTGGTGAGGTGCAGGGAAGAGGCCGCGCCTCGCCGTTCTCCCAGCGACGCCTGATGGTCAGAGGTAGACTGCTCCTGGATGTGGAGGTTCTGCTCACAACTCGCAGCTGAGGAGAACGGGAAAGCGGCCTTTCTGGACCCCAGTAGCCTTTCCCCTGGACTGGTTTGGGATCCATCCGTGCTTGGCCGTTGCTGTTCAGGGGTGCGCCGCCTCCGAAGCTGGAGAACCGGGTTGGAGTGCAGTGACACCTTTGAGACCAACGGAGCTTAATTCTGGGTCTTTAGTTTTCGTGTGCATGCACGCTTCCTCAAAGTTGGTCTGAAGCAATACAACAAGCACCTTGTTGGTCAGAAGCAGTGGCACCTTGAAGACCAACGAAGTTTAATTCGAATCTAGTTCGGCATTTGACGTTAGCTACACC